GATCCAGCAAGGAGAGAGGGAGAGGTTGAGGAAGACTCCATCCAGCAGCAGCACAACGGCGTGGTGGTGGTGGAGGAGCGTGGCAATCCCGCAGGGCTTCGCCAAGCACCATGGGAGAGGAGGAGTAGGGAGAGAGGTAGGGCTGCACCAAGAGGGAGAGAACTCATGTGTATGGCAGCCCCAAACCTCAACTATATATAGGGGGAAGGGGGGGCTGCGCCCCCTTTAGGGTTTCCCACCCCCAAGAGGTGCGGCCAGCCCTAGATGGCAAAGGGGGTGGCGGCCAAGAGGGGAGAGGAGAGGGAGGCGCACCAATATGGGCCTTAAGGCCCATCTGGACTAGGGTTTGCCCCCTCCCACTCTCCCTTGCGCCTTGGCCCCCTTGTGGGGGGCGCACCAGCCCTCCTAGGGGCTGGTCCCCTCCCACACCTGACCCACGCAACCTTCTGGGGCAGGTGGCCCCACTTTGTGGACCCCCGGGACCCTCCCGGTGGTCCCGGTACATTACCGATATCGCCCGAAACTTTTCCGGTGACCAAAACAGGACTTCCCATATATAAATCTTTACCTCCGGACCATTCCGAAACTCCTCGTGACATCCGGGATCTCATCCGGGACTCCGAACAACATTCGGTAACCACATACAAGCTTCCTTTATAACCCTAGCATCATCGAACCTTAAGTGTGTAGACCCTACGGGTTCGGGAGACATGCAGACATGACCGAGACGTTCTCTGGTCAATAACCAACAGCGGGATCTGGATACCCATGATGGCTCCCACATGTTCCACGATGATCTCATCGGATGAACCACGATGTCAAGGACTTAATCAATCCCGTATTCAATTCCCTTTGTCTATCGGTATGTTACTTGCCCGAGATTCGATCGTCGGTATCCAATACCTTGTTCAATCTCGTTACCGGCAAGTCACTTTACTCGTTCCGTAACACATCATCCCGTGATTAACTCCTTGGTCACATTGCGCATATGATGATGTCCTACCGAGTGGGCCCAGAGATACCTCTCCGTTTACACGGAGTGACAAATCCCAGTCTCGATCCGCATAAAACAATAGATACTTTCGGAGATACCTGTAGTGCACCTTTATAGTCACCCAGTTACGTTGTGACGTTTGATACACCCAAAGCACTCCTACGGTATCCAGGAGTTACACGCTCTCATGGTCGAAGGAAGAGATACTTGACATTGGCAAAGCTCTAGCAAATGAACTACATGATCTTTTGTGCTAGTCTTAGGATTGGGTCTTGTCCATCACATCATTCTCCTAATGATGTGATCCCGTTATCAGCGACATCCAATGTCCATAGCCAGGAAACCATGACTATCTGTTGATCACAACGAGCTAGTCAACTAGAGGCTCACTAGGGACATATTGTGGTCTATGTATTCACACGTGTATTACGATTTCCGGATAATACAGTTATAGCATGAATAAAAGACAATTATCATGAACAAGGAAATATAATAATAATACTTTTATTATTGCCTCTAGGGCATATTTCCAACAACTATGACGGACAGATGGCGGTGACGGCCAGGGTAGAGCAAAAGGTTTCGAGACTGGGAGCGCTGTTACACTGACAAGGTTCCAACAAGTTGTCCTGGAATATCTGCGGAAGTGTGGCATCAAACACACAGTTAGCACCAGGGGGGAGACACATAATCCATCGCATATTCATGCACTGAAAACTGTAAATACAACTGACAGGAAAGATTGGGGTGATAGGTACCCCCCCTCAGTTGGGTTGAACCATTCAGAGCCCAACGATAAATGCATTTTGAAATTCATATCTAATTTGCTTGCATGCGAAGGACCGATACTGAATAGGTTAGCATTTAAACTACCTGGACTCATTCTTTCTGTGCATAGGCAGAAAAAAATACTGAGAAATTTAACCACATTTGTATGCAGGAAATGGGTTAAGCACTACGATCCAATACTTGCAGTTGCATCTGGGCAAGATATCAAGGATGAATTGACGCCAGGAGGAGAGATAACAATGAACATGTGGAGGTGTGTTCAACACATGCTGTGCGAGAAAGATAATGGCATTTACCGCGGGTGGATGGATAGATTCAGAGGGCTGTTCGACCCCAAATTTGTTGTGAGTAAAACAACAACTTGAAAAGTTGGTACTGGATGTGAGTAATAGTAACTATAGTATCGTACAGCAGTGACAAAATCTGTAATTTTGAAATTACAGGATGAAGTCTGCAGGGATGATGGAGAAACTGACTGGGGTTACATCGAGGATATGATGAATTCAGATAAGGCTGGGTACAGGATTGACTGGCTGAAAAAGGTGAATTTGCACTAACAACTCGACGCACAACTGTTATAATCTATTGTCTTAACCTATAGCTGACAAAAAATATTGGTGGACAGTTCTGGTTCCCAGTCGATTTTATGGACTGTTGGTCGATGTACTTGCTGGATAAGGATGAAAAAACGGTGATGGTCCTGGACCCAACGGAGACAGATGAAATGGATGAGATGAAAATAAAACATGAAGGCCATGCAAAAAAATTCCAGAGGAGGTTCTGTTCTCTTTTCAACAATTTCTACGGCAACGGCTTGATTGAAACTGAAGGATGGACATTCAAGTATCCACTAGTGGCACAGCATGCGCCGTGCAGCAGGTATGCTCACCCCCCCCCCCCTTTCGGTGGAGTGCATTATAAACTTTGAAGTTTACTAAATATGGAGTACTGACAAAAAACTTAAAATGCCAGGGAGGAAAGTGGAATCTACATCGCACACTACTACACTGAGTTCACCGGGATGTACCTCCGTTCATCACTGACCCAGGTTAGTTCTTGCAAATAAACAAATGTATATGCCTAGTGCACAAATCCACATGAAGATATCTAAGTTGTTCAGTCCAGAATTGGAAAAAATTTAAAACTGATGCTGCTTTGGTTGCTTGCATTTAGTTGCAGATAGACCGTCTACGGTCGAAGCTAGCATACGAGATTGTGACAATGAAAAGGAACAAAGGGGACATCCCAGAGTTCGTGTACGATGTGATCATAGATTGAGGAGAAACAATGCGGTTTGGGTGACTACGTACGAGCGAACGCAGCCATAGAAGGCCTTCTGCTAGTCATCGTGTTACTGCTAAAAAATGCAACGAGTGCGTCGACGTATCGTTTTGGTTCGTGTATGGTCCCATGGATTGCAAAAACCTAGCACGATGTGAGCGATCCATGGGTGTAATTCAGAACAAGTGGTATGTAAAACCTAAGTAGCGTTTAAGACCTAAGTGGAACGAGTGTGATGTACGTACGCACTAAGTATCTGAATTCACACCTGCGCCTTCTGGATTTTAGTTGTGCGACCTTGCAAGTGTTGTTGAATTGTAGTTGACGTAAATACATTATGGCTGGGCGAGACGGAGTTTTTGAACGAGTTCATAACTTTATGGCTGCAAAGCTGATAACTCCACATAAGTAAACTCGGTGCCTTGCAAAAATGACCATGGCAAAAAGAAAATCCGTAGCATTAGGCGTGAAAAAAAAAGTGAAAAGAAAACAAAGAGTCGGAACTTCGAGGCTTGGGACACTGCAGTGTGGACTAGTAAGTGAGCCAAACTTCATTCACGGATGTGGCCGAGTAAACATGCTTAATATACCACATTGCAGATCATACGGTCTTGTCGTCATAACGTAGAACTTCGGAATCCTACATTAATATCAAAGTGATCGTAGTTGCGCTTGGCATTTAGGAAAAAGTTACAATTTGATGTATGTAGAAAATGGACACGTTGATGATGCGTGCTGTGGGAGCATGCATGATTTTAGTTCATGGTTAGGGCTTTACGTGCTGGACAAGTAATGAACTTCGATGCAAAGTGGGGGAAAAGGCGCGGATCGAATTTGCAAGACTTGAAATAGTCGAGACTGTCCAGTGTTGGATACTAAGTGTCCCGGGATTATACATGATTTTTTATTTCTTGTTTTGGCGATACAACGTCACCTGAAAAAGGTTTGGTCGTGCAAAACTTACGGCACTAAGGAATGTGAACTTCCTGTGCGGCTCGTGAGCTTTGATTGAGGCAACGTTTCATAGCAGATGAGGTAACATAGTGAGGTATTTCAGGAAAAATGCGATACCTAACAGTATGGATGCACATACTTAACTAGGTAAAAAAAGGTATTGCCAAATAGACAGGAATATACGCTGGACGGTTGAATATCTGAAACAAATGGTCCGTACTATATTAAAACAAGTTAGTTGCTGACGGGAAAACTACGAAACGAGCATGGATGAACGCAACGGTGGCGACCGTTACATACATTGGGTCCCTGGTGGTTGGTGAACAGAAGAAAAAACTACTTAGGGTACATGATTGAAAGAACTAGGTTCGCAAAGTGACAGCTGGTACGAGACACATCACTTTGATAAGATTATTTAAAACTTAAATCGATGTGCCCTTTACTCGGAATGGACTGAATCAACCCATGAGTCCGTTGGTGCCAGGACAGTCTAGAGTGCCTCATGGGCCAACTTTGATGAGTTTCCCTGCAGCTTGATGCACTCATGAAGTGCTTGCCTTTTAGTTCTGCCAGCATTGAACTGTCCAAAAAAATTCAGGAGATTGTATTTTCATCAGGATGTGATGCATAAATCAACGTTGCTGGAGGCGTAACGTCTTCAGTGGACCTAAAATCGTAAAAGAAGAAAAATGAAAGAGTAGGTAAGAAAGGTAACCTTGGTCAGAGGTATTTTGAGCTTCTGGCCATCGTAGTGCCTAACTATATGGAGTACGCACCCACCAGTTTCATCTCTGTTCGTAAGTTAGCAAAGACGGATCAGAGATTTGGAGAGGTAGAAACATGTTTGAGTTCATAAACAAATGAAAAAAATACTGGAGCAGGGTAGAAGTAATGTATTGCACGGAATTTGCGATGAGCAGCATTAAAAAAAATCTTACCTGCAAAAGGTTTCTTGAGCTATTACGGGGTATTTAGTAGCCCACTATCCGTCTTGCGTTGGCCACCCAGCATAATACTCATTAAGGCATTGGAAAAGTGCGTGGTGTAGCTTCCAGACAACCATCTCGAGCTTGTCTCTAGTTGCGTCGTGTGGACCTTCACCCCTGATGAGCGGGTCGAGTACATGGAGTTTCCTTGACATCATGTCCCACATGATCACTATCCAGCCGTCCTCGAGTGGGACAGGCAGGAAGAACTGAGACAATAACACAGGTGTTTGAACCGAATCATACATTTAAGTGACATAACTTTGCAAGGGGGTTTGTTTATAGAAATATGAAGTCAGCAAAAATGAAGGGTAGTATAGCATAAAACTGGGATTGGGGGAAATTATTTGTAAACGTACCATCTGGCATGATGTAATGTCGTATGGGATGTCGTTTCCAACAAGCTGCTTCTGAATTGATATGTTTGTCAAGTACTCGTGGTCAGCGAGAACGATGGTCTTCAATAGGAAATTGCATGCAAGAAAAGATTATTACAGCCAGTGTCATTATGTTCTTCTTGACAACAAGAGGTAAATTCAAAATTACACGACAAACGTGTGAGTGGCTGTTATACCGCAAATTCAGGTTCAATGTTGTGCCTCCAATTCATGTAGGGGCACTCCGAATTGGCTTCCTGATCGGACTGAGAATACCTTCTCATGATTATAGAGGCAAGCTCATGGTCAAGGGGGCGCGATCCAATTAGCTGATCAAGCATAGCCATCCCAGTAATGCGGATAAGCCTGGGACTGGCGTGTACAATGTAGTGCCTGCTTATGACAAAGTACACTTAGGGTGGACAACATGTTGGGCAATGAGATTCAACATTGAAAAAAATGTTGTTGCAGAAAATATGGAGAAAGTTTATGAATGAAAAATAGCGCGACTCGGTAGAATTTAACAAAAAAGGATCGCCACACGGTTAGAACAGACTGACCTCAAGAGATCTTGCTGTGACAGCTCCAGGAAATGGGCAGCAATAATGTCCGTTGTTGGTGCATGTGGGGGATGCGGCGCAACTCCCCTGCACCAGGGATCAGTTGCGAAGCCGTGCTGGAATATGTATTTCCTCTTCTGAAGATTGTTGGAACGTTGGCCGAATACAGTTATAGGGGGGTTGGCAGGAAGGTCAGCATACATTTCAGCGATGGACATGAGGCAAGCCTTGAAGTGATTTACGACATTGAAAGAGGCTGCTGACGTCGTTTTTTTGCTGCTAGACACGGAGTCATCCATATTGGCGGAACGCTTGCGCAGAGACACGTTCTGTGAGACAGGCGATGTAGCTGTAACAATTAAGTGGAAAGGGTGCGTGAGTATTAGGCGATCTGAGATCCGAAAAAGCTAGAAAGCACGCACACGGCGGCGGGCACATGCAAAGGATAGAACTTTCGTTGAAACAAATTTGATAACTTGGGCTGGTAAATTCTATGTATCAAATTTGCAGGCCTTTCGTTGCTTGTAGTAAAAACAGTTATAGAAAAATAAAGACAGAATATCAAGTGGAGACTAACCTTCAGATTCAGATAGTTCTAGCCTTTTACCCTGAATTTTGTGAGCAACCGGCGTGGTAAACCGCACCGATTTGGAATTAGCAGTGCCTGATGAGATGGAAAACAAAGAAAGTATATTACGTGGCTTATGGAGGGATAACACATGAATATAATGGATAGCATGAATAGGATTTCATTAAGACCTGAAGCAGGGCAGTCAGTGAAACCACGCACACGGCAACACACACAACGGGTTGAAACTGAGTTGATAAGTTGGTCTGAAAACTTGTACATATCCATTTGCAATCCGTTTCTTGCTTGTAACAACGCCTGCTGGATTGAATTGCTGGCTTGTGTCAACTGCATAAGGCCCCTAGCATACTGTTGTTTCATAATGAATGTGATCTCGTCCGCTACCTACAAAGCCGAAACACGAGGCTTAGTTTGAAGGCGAGAAAAATATATTAAGAAGTGCAGAAGTAAGAAAAGCATAAATGGTGGACGACATACAAGATGTGGGTGCTTCTCACGCAAGTACTTTGCAAATTCCATTGGACCAGGAGCTGCAGAAGATGGCATTGCTGCGTCAGTGTTAATCTGATGGCCAGCGTCGCGATCTGGTAAGGGAGTTTTGTATGGAAGGGTTCCTATTGCAGGCGTGGCACATCCGCTAGGCGGCCTTCTACTCGTTGATGACGACGGAACGGATGAGGGAAACTTCTGCCGTGTGTAGCAGACCGTCGCCGCATCTCTGAGCTGTGATAGATAAAAAATCATGGTGGCGGCTAGCATTTTTAAAATTTCAACAAAAACATCAGAGAAAAATCGTAAAAAAAGGTGTGTTGATCCATATGCAAGTGTAGTACATTTGCATGAGAATATGAAGTAATTCCTTTCACCGGATCAGCGGCCATAATCAACATTTTACGAAAAGACTCAGGGTCGAAGTCAGATATCCGTGGGATCGCGTTATGAGGCTTGTTAAAAATGCCGAGATCAAGGTTGTCCAACAAGAAAATCTGCGTAGTAAAAGACAAGTCGGTCAATGGAACGTATAACAAGAAAATAATCTGACAAAACTTGCTGTGCATCGACTCATTCAGAAAACGTTGAGATTCTGTGCTAAAATCATCACTTGCCTGGAAGAAAAAATGGCAGCCCGTTAGATTGGTGGACTGATTGTTTGCCAGCATGTCACTCTTCAGCTTCTTGACTGCGTCCAGAAGTTGTACCAGTACATACTCGCACCAATTGAACTGAACTATGGCCTTCGTATTTGCAATCGCCCCCCAGTAGTCGATGGTGGCGTAGTTGTGCTTAGTAGTTGGTGCTAGTACATGACCCATAACAAAGATAACAAAAGCAATCTGGAAACAATCCTTCTCCAACTTGCATGAATTCTCATTGATATCGCGCAACAAGAAATTTTCTGCAGCCCGCAAGCTATGAACTCCAGTTTTATCCATTTGAAGTGTTGTCTTTATGAAATGAACAGCTTCAGGATTGATGATTGCATCCCTGCCTTTCACGCTGCGGTGACCGCATGGGATCCCAAAAACCTTGTGGACATCCTCGGTGAAAAACCTGAGTACCTTGTTATCCCTAAGTTTAATCTCCCTACGGCTCACGCTGACTCTGCTCATTATCCAGGTGCTACACTCCAAACTCAGCTTCTGCACGGCTGGGAGCTTCAGCATACCCCCAAAACCAATCTGCTCTACTAACCATTTCTTGTAGTCGTCAAACTTCTGAATGACACTAGCTGCATGCTTGACGGAGATGCGTGATGTTGGCGCGGGTGGATCTGCCGACTTAGCAGTTGAAGATGAGCCCTCCGGGTGAGCAACAGGGCAAGGCGCAGCGGCGTGAGCGACGTCCTTACCATAACGAGCGTCGCCTGCTCCACAGCTGCCGGACTGCGAAGTACTATCATCCTACAAAGCAAGAAAGAAAAGGAGAGGAATGGAGTTTTCAACCCGCACAAGATTCAGATCCAGGCAAATCGCTCTATGGAACTAGATGTAAATAACTGGAAAAGAAAACTAGGCAAAATCTGCAGCTTACCATGGTGGTGATGCCTACAGCGAATCAAGCCAGGGGTGAATTTGCGCCGGGAGCGAACCGTAGATTAGCTGGAACTGCTCTCCGGCGGCAGGTTGGGGCGACATGGACAGGACATGAGGCCTGGTGTAGGTGAAACCGTGAGATAGGGATATAATGCATGCTCAATAGAAATGACGGTAGTACCCCCGCGAAAAGAAAAAAACAAGGTTAACGGTGCGGCGGGGGGCGACGTGTGGACTGGGACGTGTTGGCCTAACAAAGCGGTGAACCTCTACTAGAAGTTGATATGTCACAGTTTGATCAGGCAGATTGAGTGGGTTGGATGGGCGTGATGCATGCTTTGATGTTAGACAACATGGCAGCTCCCCTTAGGTGCTGATTCGCACACATTATATGCTAATGAGAGTGCCAGGTAAACAAACCCCGTTGCACAGCAGATGTAAAAAAAAATACAATGTGAAACCAGGCAAATAATATAATGGTGGGAGCTTAACTCAGGTCTTACAAAGCATTACATATTTGGATGTTGATTAGCACAAACAGGCTTAGCGGTAAAGGGAGCCACCCTTGCTTACACTTAAAAATTTAGACCTTGCATAGCGCGCATAGGCGGATATTAATTAAGGAGTGCCCTAGCAAACCTACAGACATTACTTAGCTAACACAACCATTAGCACCAGAACAGTAAGAATGATGTTGACTGCTGCCATAAGAACGGCGACTGCAGCTAGGCCTTGTGCGCCATAAGCCGCTCCGACTCCGGCAGCAGGCCTTCTAGCGTCAGCTACCATATTGTTGCCCGCCGGGGGGAGCTGCTGCATCGGAGCCTGGATATGCGGCTGCGGCTGCATCTGCGCCTGCGCATGCGACTGAATGTGTGCCTGGATCTGGTGCTGGATCGCAGCAGGAACCAGCTGAGCAGGACCATTGCCGTGCTGGGGGGCGAGTCCAAACCCGGGTGGGTGCCATCCGGCCTGGTGTTGCACATCCAGGATCTGCTCATGGGTCATCCTCCTGCAGTACGCGCGCTGGAACTCGAAGAAATGGCACTGGCGTGACTGCAAGAACATGCAAGGGGCGTGTAGTTCAGAGCGGTGACTTGTGCGAAAACTTGATTCAATAGGGAAAAACTGGCAAAGATCGGATAAAGAAGTACTTACATCATAGCGGATGCACTTGTAGAATCGATGCCCAACATTGTTTCCAGTCCTTGCGACGACCGTCAGTAACTCATCGCCGCAGAGTGGACATGCCATCAGGGGTAGCAGCCAGTCCGCCGGGATGGGGAGAGATGATGAGGATGAAGCGGACATGTCGCCGGAGGCGAGGACGGTGCCGTATGTGTGTGAGTACGGGAGATGTGGGAGGGGGGATGGGGGGGAGGTAAATGAGATGGTCGGGCAGATAGGTTGGGAATTAATTCATGGTTGTAGACGAGTTGACGCCGTCCATGTGAGAAGTTAGCTCATACGGCTCAGGGTGGCTCAGATAAGGCGGCGAGCCATCAACGCTATATCTGTCCCCAGGACGCCGTTAGCCCAGTTAAGAAACCGAGCCATCGAGCCTCTCTCTGTACCGCAATGGCAGTGTAAGTCTCCGTCGCAATGATTGCGAACTGTTCACCACGCCAGGAAAGGAGAAATACGACATAATATACAGACAGAAGCACATATCCTGATGCAAACCGATCGGTGCGGATTGTGGGAGCAGCTGAGCTCGAGCTCAGAAGCAGATTTTCGGTGTTAAGACTTCAATATTGCATATGAAAATGTTCTAAATTATAATGGATCTATCTTGTGTAATGCTTCTATAACAAATTTCACATTACTAGTTGCAGTGTCTTATGTAATATGTAATATTAAGAAACATAAAATTTGACTATATGACTTGTTACACTATATTTCCAAAGCATATTTCACACTTGGTACACTATATGAAAAATTACTCAAGAGTATTCCAAAGTATGTATCATATATCACATATATGAAAAATTACTACAGTCTGCAAAAGTATATATCATAATTCACATATTTGTGATATTGCTATTACATAGATATTAGTGGATTCACAATTTTAAATGCTGCATACTAGTTAAAAATGATTTTTTAAACAAATGTGTGGTAAATACACTTTAATTTTAACATGACCTTCTTACTAAATATTAAAAAAAAATATTCACATCGTTGAGATCCTTTAGCTAACTAGTGTTATTGTAATAATTCATAATTTGCAGTTAGCAAATAGGATGGAAGAGGATATGATCGAGGAGACAGGTGATGTAGCTCTTCTTCCAGATGATTTAAAACAGATAATCTTATCAAAAGTGCCCTCCCATCCTGTTGATGTCGTTAAGCTAATAACTGTTTGCAAAAAGTGGAATGATCTGATTTGTAACAATGTGTTCAAGAAGCTGTTATTCAAAAGGAACAAAATACCACCATTAACTGGGGTATTCACCAGAATAGATAATGTTATCAGATTCCTCCCTATTGGATATAAACCTGGTGTGGAAGGGTTCAACTATTTTGAGAAGCCATTCATGACTCTGAAAGAGAAAGAAGCATTTCCCAGCTTAAGAATTGTTGATGTCACGCATGGTAGTGTACTTATGCATTCATTTCATGGAAAAATACTTGCTGCTTAGGATCCAATGACTGGGGAGATTGTAACTACAGAAGAACCTGAAGATGAATTAAATAGTCAAGCAAACATTTTATGTGCTGCAAACCATGACCACAGAGCTGGTTGCCACAATTTATCGTTCAAAATAATATGGGTAGCCACTGGTCAAACAAGCACCAAGGTTTATACATTCACTTCTGTTACATCAACTTGGCAATGTTCGATGTATGTTTTAGAAACAATTTCTGGGGTGGAGTTTCGTCCAGGAACTATTATTGGTGATATGATGTATTGGGTATTGAAGTTGAAGCATCTATTTAGATTCAATTTGGTTGACC